CTCTGCGTTTCAGCATAACTTCCCAGCAAAATGTTTGATGGAGGTGAAGACCACCTGGTCTTGATTCTTAGTCGAACGTGTCAAGCCAAGTGCTGTGGGTTCCCCGTAGACTGGTGTTGTCAAAGGTCACGTGCAGTTCAACTTCGACCATGCCGCGTGAAGTACTGTATTATTAAAGGACGAATTCACGATGAAAAAGCAACCCATTTCAAATTAACCTAGGGATGGTGAGTGGTACACGAAAGAAGGAAGAACCATGAGAAACGGCCCAGAACCCGAGAAATGGGACCCCTTCCTTGCCCGTTGATTTGAGCATTGATGCGACTCTCATCGCTGTGCCCTCTTCAACACTACGCTCTCTCTGCTATCTAATCACTCGCCACGTATAGACCTGCGGCGAGTGATCAGATGATCGGTGGGCGTGCACTGGCCCACCGCGCCAAGATTGAGCCTTAATAGGTCGCCGAGGTCAACTCCTTCGGTGCCAATTGCGCTTCAGTCCGCACCCTTAGGAGGTCCGCGGGTCCCTCAACTAGGGGGATTACTCCTTCTTCGACTTTCATTCTAATCGTGAATTCCTTTAAGGGCGAACTTCTGACCTTCCGTCGATCATAGCAGCCATATCAATTCACTCTTATTTGGCATCACTACGAAGTCTTGGACATGTCACTCCGGCTGTCCAGTAGAGACTTTCACTTTTATCACCGTGTGATGGGCATCATCAACTTCTCAAGACGAGACAGGGTTTAGCACTGTAAATAGAAACTGTTCAGATGACGATTCTGTAGGTCTTCGTTCTGAGAGGCTTCGCATATTTTCGTCGCAAGGGAAGGGATCGAGCGTTATCGAACCAGTCTTCGATGGCTAGATTTTTATAAACGTACAACAAAATATGACCACACCTTTTCTCGTTCTTTCTGAGCACGTTTCACGTCTGCATACGTGATGTCACTACCTGTCGCACGCTGTTTTCCAGAATCGAATGGTTTTCTGTTGAGTTTGCTCAGCTTCTTGCAAGCTGGCTCATGCTTGATCTGGAATGCTAACAATTCTTGTGCAGCAAGTATAATAGCCGATACAGTTGAGGTATCGCTGTTATTATAACATTTTATTATGTAAGCCCCACCAGAGCCCTATCGCGTGCCGGCAAAGAAGGCCGAGGGTCGGCGGGACGAGTCGCGGCGCGTGATGTGTGATGAAGGACGCGCAATGGGACATTCTATTTAACTTGCCGCGATTTCCCTAACACGCGCGCGAACTCGTCCGCTGACTCGGCATTCTTGCCGCGCGACAGGGCCTCCTGGGGGGTACCCTTATTTATAATTCCAAGGCTTGATAGCATGCGCAATCGAAGCCAGTGGCTCAGACTCGTCATCTTACCCTACGTTTTAGATCTTTTTTAGCAATACCTTTGCAATTGCCTGTAAAGCGGCGGTTAAATGAGAAAGGTTGAGTGAAAGTTCCCTTAACCTTCAATAAGGTCTCGTGTTATACGGCGGCGAGACAGGGCGATCAAAGAAGGAAAAGCACGCGAGAGCACGCTGTTCCTTCGAGAGAGCATGCTGATCTCTACATCAATCGAGTTTGTGGGGAGCGTTGCAACGAGGGCCGATGTTCGCAGGTCCGTAAGGACCAGCGCGGGTACCTCCCAGGAGGCCCATCGCGCGGAAAGGAGGCATAGTCGGCGGACGAGTCGCGGCGCGTGGTGTGCGATGAAGGAGCGTGCAAGTGGGACATCCATTTTAACTTGACGCGATTTCCCTAATACGCGCGCGACTCGTCCGCTGACTCGGCCTTCTTGCCGCGCGACGGGCCTCCTGGGGGGTACCCGAACCGAGCCACCTAACCGTGTAAAATGTGTTTTGGGGCGACGGGATAGGCGAGATGAGGTCTAGGTAGCTTACGGGACGCGGGCGGGACAATTTCCTTTACGGTATCCTTCCCACAAGTAGGGCTACTCCCGGGGTTTGCCTTCAATATGAAACAGCCCCAGTCAAGAACAAAGAAAAAAATCGTCAAGCATAGTTCTACTTAGAATTGGGGACTCCTGAGTTTGCTGCGCTGTACGAAGCAGAAATTTTGAGAGGCAATGGGAGAATAGCAAGAACTGACACGAAGACGAAAAGGCATAGCACAAGAGCGGAGACGCAGGTACCGTAGTGGTAGGCGTGCATGGTCCCTTAAAAGGCCCATGGTGCATTGTTGCTTAGTTGCTTAGGGTGTCCATGGTTGCAAATCGGAAGTCTCTAGCCCCTCTGCGCGTTACGAGTTGCAAAAACAGCACTACCTCTGAGGCTGTGGACCCGCATTCGTGGGACGGATTGGTCCAATGAACTAATCGCCGAGTTTGCCTTCAAATTGCCGGATTGAGTGCCACAACGCAGCAGTGGCTCGGGACACTTGAAAGAGAGCATAGCTAGATGGATACCAAGACTGCTAGTAGAATATTGCTCGAAAACATTCTTCTAGTCACAACACTCTAATTGGATCGGGGTACTGTATGTAGGTTACCATTTGAGCCTATAACAGTAATTCACGTGGGTATAAATAGGCTGTTTTGTATCGTGCACATTCACATATAAAATAATAGTCAATGGGTGAAATCAATAATTCTCACTATTACGACAAAAGTGTGTTCAGACTAGAGAGGACCTTCTATGAATTATTTATGCATAGCTTCGCCACGTATGCGAGCACCTGTTCGTTTACGCGCATTAAAAATTATGTTCAACTACAGTAGGAGCAACAACTAACTCACCAAACTGGCTTGAATAAATCTTCGTCCGCATATTTTGCAAGGAAATGTTGGTTCATCCTGTTTTATGTCTGAATGAGAGGCATTTTATGTAATGCGAATCAAATGTAGCAGCGGGGTTATTTTTTTAGTCTTTTCATAGAAAGCACTTCTTTGGTTAGACAAAACAAAGGGAAGAAGGGTAATGAAAAGAACGCGTCTAATCCGCGTGCGCTTTGATATAGGACTTACCTCTCTCTGGCATGGCAAAATCGACAAAGAAAATGGTTCAGTATTTCGCAAGCCTTCGTATCCCTTGGCAACAGACTATTCCATACGTTGGAGCTTGCATTGCCTCCGTTGCTAGGAGTCCTTGTTCTGTCAACTTCCCCCTCGGCCCTTTTATGAGGCTTCTGCTGTCCAGTAGTGTCAAGACTTTAACAAAAGAACAGACCGTTCCTTGAGGAATTCCATGAAACTCCTAGAAATCTTTTCTTCAGAATTTCTAAGTATATTTTTTACCTAGTTCCCAAAAAGAGTGGTAATTCTAAGGTCACATACTCTAGCATGCCTCGAGGAGCTGGTCACAAAGACGCTTGCCGGGAATTGTTGAGAGTTCTACTAACAGAAGTTTTTGCTTGACAAATAGCTGGTTCGGAGAAATGGACGCGTTATCTTGGAGCCGTCTCACAATTACACTTGACACTGCAGACTTACACCGTAGGGTAATCCCTATACTATTCTGTAGAGGATACTAAATAAGGCAACTTTCCCAATTAGCGTCGAGTTATGTTTTGCAAATTTCACCCGAGGAACACGAAGGAGAAACAAGATAAAAAAGTGGGAGGAGTTCGTTTTTAGGGAGTTTAGGGGTTTTCAGGTACTGCGCAAATGATTCTCTCCTGAGAAAACGCAGGGCCGGCAGACCATGCACATAGGAGATCTCAGAGGAGAAAAGAACTTGGGCGGCAGGTAATGGAGAGAAGGGAATCTAGCAATGTAATCAGATCCAAGTTTTCAAACTACCGTCGTTCCCAATTTTCAAACAGTTGACAAATTTCAAAGGACATTTCAAACACTAACCATTGTCATCATTCATAACGCATGCTCGGGGTGACGGTTTGGCTGACTCATTCATTACTTCCGCTGGCTCCCTCCCTGCTAATTGTTAGCCGTTCTATTTAAATGCAACAGCTTAGTCACCAACAACAGTACTTCTACACGGTGGCAAGCAATCCCTCCACACTGATGGTTTGGACAAAAGTCAAGTTTATACCGTGGAATACTTGAAGAAAGAGTTGTACTTGCCTCATTGTGAGACGAGGACCCTGAACCAAAGTGTCAGAGCTGGAGAGAATGGTATTGGCTTTCGATGCATAGTGAGGGAGAAAGTGGGGGTGGGGAGCGGCTTTCAGGCTCTAGAGGGACTATTAGCGCTCCCTTAATCTCCCTTTGTTCGTCGCCGTAATCTCCACCTGGGTAGTGGCAGGAAAATGATCTCCATATGCAATAACAAGCGTAATGGCAAGTGGCGCGCTTACCACGCGCGCGGTCCGGGGATCAATCCTGGGTCGTGAGTCGCCCGGGCCAACCAAGCCTTCCATCCCTCCGGGGTCGGTTAATTGGTACCAGACTTGTCTGGGAGGATAAAAACACTGACTTGTACATCGGCTGGCCCCCGCAAGTCATTGTATAGGCCACATCGCATTCAAACGCCACTACGAATGTACAAATGGAAGTAGAATGCGTGCCGCATCCCAAACTTCGTATACATTGATCAACGGAAAATGCTTCGAAGTTCAGGGAAGTCTCTCCCACATTAATCTTCCGACCGGCCGTATTCCTTGATGTTACAGTGTGTACGTTCCCGAATCTTGCTTTGATTCTTGAAGTAAAAGCCGACATAGTAAAGAAGAGAACACATGTTGTTAGATGAGCTAAATGCACTCACCTTAAGTTCAAGCTTAGCTGTGAAAGTGTTGTTGGGTCCATCAGGCGAAGTGAGGAAACGAATCCTGGTTGACTCCTTATCTTCTTTCCTTTCGGTTTGATCACATCACCGCCTAAAGACAGATTATCATAACAGCTCCTGCCTTTCGAAATAATTCTTCAAGATAGCAATTGAAGTCAGACCTCAGGATTGCGATCGGCTTGGCTATCCAATATCGAAGACAATGGCTGGATCTCCAGAATCAGAAGTAACCTGCAGGATTTGGGGCTTTCGCGTGAAGGTCGGAGCTCCCTGGGGTACTGAAAGAGAAAAGGTCAGTCTTTGTTAACTCAAAAGAAACTGATACCAGCGAACCTTCGAATTTCACGGTGAAGGTGGCTGTGAGCTTTCCAGAATCATTCTTAGCTGTGCAAATGAACTGGCCGGCGTCCTTCTCTTTTGTGGGCTCCTGAAAGTGGAACTCACTGAGGCAGCCTGCACGTCAGACGCTTTACATACTTGGAACTAAGAAACTGAACAAACCTTAATTTCAAGTGCAGCATAGTAGATCTGGTTAGCCTCCTCCCTCAGAACGATGTTTACACGGTCGGACTGCGCCACAATTTCATCTCCCTTCAATAAGAGGTTAACTTAAAATGTTTCAAAAAACGATAATGTAGTGGAAACATGGAATATTTTGAGGAAACTAAAGGCGAGGCAGAACCAGAGTCACCTTGTGCCAGACGAACGTAGGTTTCAGGATAGACTTTGCTCGGAATTCCATAACCATAACCTGACCATCATCTCGTGACGATATTTGAGGTTTCTCCACAAAAGTCGGGGACGAGAAACCTCAAATAACACAATAGCTTATTATGTATGGAAACATGCAAAATTTGAGCGCATGCAGTTATTCCTAAATAACGCGCTGTACATGGCAAGTACGTCGGTGATTGGTGGGTTGCATATGTGGACCCAATAGCACCTTTTCTCAAACATTCTACAGATTGAGTTATGTTCAACTAACCTCGCACACGCTATTAATACAATGTATCTGCACCCTAACTGCAAAATAAACGAACCAGTGAGCTTCAAATTGAAATTAGCATTTCCCTTTCCATGGGGATTAACGATGGCACAGCGATAGCCTCCTGCATCGCTGTCAGCGAGATCCTGAAATCGAATGATGCATAAAATGAAATCAAATCACGTCGGAAACGACGCAAAGACGTTACCGTTTCCCTTTATTTCTTCACGCTTCATTTTATAACACATTATTTCTCTTGCACCATCACACAATCTATCATCTAAAAAAAATTTCTACTGTCTGCGCTAAATGCAGCCGCATTCGACTAGAGGCATTTGCGAAGTATACAAAAACGATTAACATTTACGAACGATAACTACATCTTGAAGTTACCCGCGACCTAAAGTCAAAAATTTTGCAACGCACTGCTTAATCCATCTGCTCTCACTTCAAAAGCTAATTCTTCGGTTCAGAACATGCTCATCCTGATGGATACACCGTTCAGTATTTCTAAAGCACATTATCCATGCACTATCCATGACCGGCCTAAGTATACAGCACCTACAGAATGTTTAGTGTACAAGCATATTGACCGAGTTCAAAAGCTTCGAATAGGCTTTTGGTTAGTCCTATCAGGATAGTCCAAGATTAATGTGCTCTGCTGAATCTCACGTCCCATTCATGCACCTGAACTGGAGAAAAAAAGCGTAAACACACAAGCAGGAACCAGGTGTTTTAAACGCGCTATCGATCGGATGAGACTTATCGGCGCGTTTTAGTGCACTACGAAACCTCTTCTCACTGCTGCAAGTTCAAAAACACTATTTGAAGATTATTGTAATTGTGAGTTATGTTTTAAGTGTTGGACCTCACAATTACAACAACAGCAACAACTACAATAATGAAAATTCCGAGATGTCATGATGAGAGAACTCGGGACTATTTGAAGGATTTCTCACCTTAATCTGGAGAATAGCAGAGTATGAATCATTTCCTTTAGAGTCTAGCTTGAACTGGAAGCGTGAGTCCTGCTTGACCTCCTTCTGAAAAAAAAATCCCTAAATCGATTGGGCTGAAATCTACATCAACAGAAACAATTTAAAAAGGAATAGCTATTCCCAGAACGACGAAAACCTCGCTCGGCCCTTCCTGTGCGGCCTGCGGCAACGATGTTTGTTACACATCTCTGCGGACCTTACACTATTAGTTCAACGCGTAGGTGAAATGGAATGCGAACAGAATATAATACATGGGATATCTATGAGGTATTTATAGCCCCAAAGTGCCAAAATACAACACCCACTTCGACGTAATAGGGATCTGCACCAAATCCAAAATGCAAAAACGTGAATATTGAAGTTACTTATTTGGAGGAACAGTCATAATAATCTCAATGCCATTTCTGAGTAGACGCCATATGTCTGCTGTGCTCAGCGACACTGTTTCTTTGAAGAACGGAGCGCTGCAGGCCAGAATTCGCGATGGCGCGGTAATCGCTGCGCGGCAACTGCTCTTGCGCGATTTAGCGAGACACTGCAGTAACGAACAGCTACACTCCCTCTTCTTTACGCTGTCTGCTGAATGTTAATAAAAGTTTAGAGAGCTCTCAATGGTTCTTTACACGTGATTTGGGGATATTACTGCACTGTGATCGATACACTTTAAAATCACATAGGCCCTGGGTGCCTTTCAAGTCGGAATATTACAAAGCTGCATAATCAATACATACAGATATTTTATTTCTTAGCAGAACATGTGAAAGCAACCGCTGGCTCGCCAAGCACCAATCAACAAAATGGTGCCTTGGCGGTACATCTGTACGCTCTCATAGGGATAGTCATGTAAGAAGTTGCGGGACGCAAAACGCCATCACCTTTTCGCAGCTGAACTAACCTTTTTCAATTGCCCCAACGCGGAACCTTTTAAGTAAATGGAATTCTCTAGTGTTGTACATGGGAACTAATCGGCAACAACATAACATCTCTTCTATGAATTTCACATGAATCAACTCTGAGTCATTAAGTTGTCCCGACAATGGCGCAGTTCGTTCACCGATTTGCCATCACAAAACATCTGCTAGACAAAACCCCTCCCATTTGCAACATTCATTGGGTAACGCAGCAGTATCGCCTAAGCATGAACTCCAGATCATTAAAAAGGTGGCACCTATGCCTTCCTCTCGTCTCCAATGCCTGGCAAATAAGCCAGAAGTCAGCGTTCTAAGTAACTATGACGAGGTTCAACAGCACAACCTGAGAACAGAATGAAGAGAAGAGGTATAAAAACGAACGTTGTCATAGAACCACTTGATACGTGGATGTCCGGGAGGGTGTCTTATTTTTCAAGTGAGAGTCATATTATTCGAGCTGCATAGAGACGTCTTTTGTCGAGCCACTGGTTGCTGGGGAAATGTGGCGCCTTGCCCTCCGGCATGTTTCCTGAAAATTGATCTATTTGCGTACAACATTATGGAGACAGTAAACAATATCGCTAAGTAGGCGTAGCATGCAACAAAGGGAAATTTACCAAAGAAAAAATCGCGGAATTCTGTTCCGGAAGTACTCATCTAGAATCTATTACGGTAATTTTTGGAGTTCTTGTATTATCAAGATTCAGGTAAAGTCCAGATGGAAGTAACAAGTACAGCTAAGGTAAGAAGTAGTCAAGATGACAAAGGTGAAGTTGAGGTAAAGTCCAGATGGAAGTAACAAGTACATCTAAGGTAAACAAGTAGTCAAGATGACAAAGGTCAGGAAGTCCCTGTGACATGACCCCAAAGGCAATGTCATGACCCCAGGTTAGCAGTTCATGAAAGTCAGGGATGGTAAGGTTGATGAGAGGTACATCATCAACGAGGTCGAGATGAATGAAATGTATGAGACTGGGAAGAAGGCGGAGGGGGAGTAGCCAGCCAGCCGACAACGCCCGCAGGCTCTTGATGCGTAATGCGGCACATCAGCAACAAAACAGTCTGAGAGCCTCTCCGAAGCTTACATACTAAGCCCATAGCTGTACGCCTAACGGGTGAACATGCATTTCAATAGCAATGAGACACTATTCTAACACAGAAAATCGGGACAAGAGATGGATGGAAGGATTTTCAATGAAATCGAGGGATGGAGTAGAGCGCAGCTAGTCGAGTGTTGACATTTAATGTTTGGATACCGCAAAAACTTGAAAGCTTCCTTCTAATCTCGTCGTAATCTAGTTATTTAACCATGCAATATTATATCAATCCGAATCGGCAAAAATATTGATAACAAAATCTACAGCTACTACGAGGTACTACCTATGAAAACGTGTGCTCTGTATCGAAATGTATCTACAAAACAGTATCGACCTGGTCTTAGTCTGCACTAGAAAACTAGTATCTCATGCGTGGCAACAAACTAGTTACGCGTTTGTGTGTTTTAACAACACCTGTACAATACCGTTCTCGTACGAGGACAACATCATAACACAAAGGCCTGTCTCATCAGACAAGGCAGATGTATGAGAAATGCTGATATTGTGAGAGGACGTGAGTCCACCATTCACTAAAGTGAGGTCTTTGGTAGGGAGGATGGCGGATCGGCCCCGCGACTCGCGGATAGCCGCTGTTCACCAGAACGTTACAACGCTTTCGCCCACGCCCCATTGCAAATTATAGAAACAAGCGCGTGTTCGGCAACTGGTGTGTGCACATTTAACGGAATAGAAGCAAAACGAACACATTGCGGTTGCGTTGGTCGCTTCATGGTACTACCCGATGTCCTCGTAACATCTATAGAGACTTTTCACATCGAATCTCCTACGCTATCAGATCGACAAACTCGCGAGAAAATGACGCGTTTCGCGACGAGCGACGAACAGCAAACATTCACATCCGACGATGAGCAGGACACGCCAACGCAAAATCCATACCATCGCACGTCCTACTTACCTTATGAGCCCGAACTACTTCCATAGACGGCTTGCACCTTTACAAAATGGGTCAAGTGCTGTGTCCAGCGAATACTGCACTTAAAATTTCAATTACACGAGCAAAGATTGTTCACAAGATTCCAATTTTAATGCTTTTAATCCAATCTAACTATTTTTTGCTTGCAAAACCACGTCACATCATAATGTGAGTGTTTGTTGAAAATCGTAGAATTTCATTCCAGGTTCTTGAAAAATCATCAATCATTATCATGACTATTACTATAACTGATATTATAATCATTGTTGCTATTAGTGTAGTATTACTACTATTCAATATAGTGAAAAATATAAAATATTCAAGTATTTTTTTCATCATGCATGTTTTGATTTCGAACACGATAGCCTGGCGGAACAGCTCCGTTTGAGCGCTTCATTTTTACTCAAACACAATGCCTTGTGATATCTTGAACGCTATACCGATTCAGATCCTTCCAAGCGCTCAACATTCAGATCACAACGGACTATAACCTTGTCAGGTGTGGTGCGGAAGGGATAGGCACCGAGGCATGAGGCGCCGTTTTCATCTCCGTGATCCATGGATCAAATCCCTCTAGATAATTAGACTCTTCTCACCTACGATCGATCACCTGCTCCCAGACTTGTCCGTATAAACTTCTCGCCAAAATCTTATCCCACATTTCGGCGAGTTCAGACTACTTTATATGTAAACGCAACCTACTGACTTCAGCCTACTTTCTTTTTGTTCCGACCCTTACATCACAGAAAACACGAGACAAGCTTTTTGACAGCTAATGAAGTGTGGAAACATTCATTCGCGACACTGCACTATTGTGCTTACTCGGATCTCAAAAGTAAACAGAGCCGAATTCCAATGTGCCTGAAGTTCAGAAGCCGATGATGCTACGTAATTCTCACTTTACAATGCCCCCCGTCCTCCTACACTTTCGCCAACTGCTGTCACGGATGTCGGCGCGGCCCACTGCTTAGGAAACAGTGATACGACGTAGTTCGGGATCTCAGAACTACTGAATAGTACAGCTTAGCAAGTCCGCACAAACGATATCAAATCCGCACACACACACAAAAGACTGCCCCTTCGACCAGTTCCCCTGAATGAATTATGGACACATTAACAGGAAAAGAAAAAGTGAAATACATGTGAATCAATCATGAGCGGAAGTCTTCCGCTTCCTCGAAGACCCCTCCTTTCGGGAATGGTTCATACTCTTTTTGGTACTCTTTTTAAAGTGTCAGCGCTTGTTCCTGCTCAGATCGAGATGACCCCTCAAGTGAAGGTATATCTGGTCAGGGCTTAGCCTTGTGAGCACTTGAGAAAACTCTCACGGTTGTAATAAAACTCAACCAACTTAACATATTATATTTATCATAGAATCAGCAACCAAAAAGCTTTTACATGTTATGCTTCGTTAACTGCAGTTTTAGGTGGGCGTGCAGAAGGACTCTTATTAATATTTTTTAGTCACGGTTATAGCTGTGGTGGTGTAAAGGTTGTATCCTTGTCCGCTGAGCATGTCGCAAGGGTTTGATTCACCGCTAAGACAATGTTTTGTCCATCCTTTAATAACGATAGAATTGTAAGCCAAACCACAATAAATGAAAAGTAGTTCGATGACAGTTCAATGCTCAATGGAACCAACGGGGAAAATTCGGCCCCAATCTAGCTTCCATTTCACAAAAGCTTATTTAATCGGGGCGAGTGGTGTAGTGGCAATGCGGCTTCCACTCGAGCGTCCGCGGATCAAAATCCGGTCTGAGTCGCCCAGCAACAGCACTTCCATCCTCCTGGTCCTTAATTGGTACCAACTTGTCTGGAAGACATAAAACACCTGACTGACCCGCTGGCCGGTGCCGCGCTAGACTAGGCGCGAGGCCACTCTGGCGTGCGTGCCATCCTCCACCTCCTACATGAACGGCGCTCAGTATAGTTGGCGGGTTGGCTCGACATATTCTCTCTCCTTTGAGAGAGCGCAGAGAAAAACGAATAGTGGGAGGCGAGCACGCACTTCAGCGCATTGTACGTGACTACAGCAGAACATTATAATTCACGCTTTACTTCGGGTGCTCGCTCTGTCTAAACGGCTTAAGTCTTATCAGACTGTGGTCGATCCACAGGGAAACCCGCAAGAGTACAGGTTGACTGCAAGTGTTCCATGCCCCATGCTCCCCGATTTAGACTTTTTCTCCACATTCTTTTCCGTCGTTGATTCCCTTCTGCACACCTCGCACCCTTTCTTTTAGGATCTCAATCTCGGCGCATGGCCGCATTGGCATAGACTCATAAATTATCTATGAACAACAGAGGATATATAACAGCATCCTATTTTTGCTCGGGAATCATGGCAGACGGTCTAAAGGGCATTGAAGCAACAACCCTAGATCAAATTTTTGGGGTAGGGTCGGTAATGAAAATGTGGATGTCGAATTGACAGCAAATGAAAAAATAAGCAAAACAAACCGCCTAAAAAGCTCTTAGCGAGGACTTCCTCTTCGCATCGAAATGAGGAAAGAGCGTGTCCGAATGAGTGATCTTGACCTGCTCGCTACATGGTTCCACCAAACCGCGCGTATTTGAATTAACCGCCACGCCGTAATCTGCTTGCCATGGACAGTGCACGAGGTATCTCGTCCATTAGCTAATACCAGCCGTCATTAATTCTGTAAGGCATTGTAGCGCACTTCGAGCCACAACAACGGTGCAACTGTGATACTCGCTGGCTACTTTATTCTACTCACAGAGTAGACTGTTCGACATAACACCACGTGTAGTTATTGCTCTGATACTTGAAAATTGCAAAGGATGCTTACGATTATGGCTTCGTCTCATTTTTCATATTTATTTATTTATTATGTGGCCAAGCTACATGAAGCCAAGATTATCATTGGCTGCTTGCAGGTTTTGTTCACTGCGCTTAATGTTTTGTTTTTTGCTGCAAAGACATACATAGCATCTTTGTTCTGAATCATTCGTAGCCTTTATCCAGTTTTCTCTTTTTTTTCACTTTTTTAACTTTGTATCCTTCTCACCCTTCAATGGTGATTCATCATTCTTCGTATGATCTCTTCTTTTCTTACTTATACCCATACATACATATCCACGCTTTTATACACAGCTTACTGGACCTCGTAAGTCATTATTCCGAGAAAACGAACTGCTGTGAGACACACATCTCGACCTTCACGGATTTATTAATCATGAACAAAAAAAAACAGCTTCGTCAACTGTAGTGTTCACTTCTCTTTTTAAAAAAGACGCATAGAACAATCGGAAATATTACAAATTGACAACGACGGCGTTTCGGAGGGAAAGTGGGTGAGGGTTTCTTTGCTTATGCTTCGCTTCCATCGTCACCTCCATCATCCATTGGTCCTAAAACGACGGTTTAATTCAAGTCGATAGATGCAATCGAAACATGTGGAAGTGCTTGCTACATATGGACGAAAGCAAAATTAAAGCCAGAAAGGAACATCAAAGGTAGGTTTCAGGAATGGGTATTTCTTCCTAGCTAGCATGGTGAGTCACACTGCGCGCGACGAGAGCAACTGCGGTGCCGCGTGACTTCCCACCTTTTGAAAAGGCGCGAAATGGTACATGCGCGGCCAAGTTCTCATGTTAGGAAAAACGCTCCGCTAATTTCTCGTTAAGACCTCCGAATCTTCGCTCTCACCAGGAAAGTCTTCCAGGACGTGAAGTGATTTCACAAACGGTTTGTTACATGTTATAGGGGCATGTGCGTGGAGCGTGAAACTGATGATCATTTTCTAAGCGACGCCGGGATTGCCGGGAAATAATATAAAGTTTCTCCTAGGATGTGGAATCTTTACATCTTCAATGTACTCTTCAGCATTTGAAGCGTTAAATAGTTGAATATTCAAAATTTCTGTTGGGCGAATAAGTTTAGACTCATGTGAGCCAAGAAAGTGGAAATCAGAGAAATGCAAAAATTTGTCTTCAGTGGGGATCGAAGCCACAGGTCGTTGTTCCCACACATTTTTACCATTACCAGAGCCGCTTAGAAAAAACCATCCTCAGTCTTACGCTACAGTACATACCGTATAACATGGACCAAGTGTCTAATAAAGCTTCTTCTGAAAGCAGATTACACTTCAGTGAGCAAGAGTCAGTTATAGAGTTCCAGCAAAAGGGAAGCCATAAGGCGGTGGACACAACTCGTTCGCGGCAAGCGACTTTAATCATGTTCGGTTATACCTTATGGCTGTCCTACAGGGTCAATATTGAAAATTACAAGAATTACATGCCGTAAAAGCAACGCATTGGTCACGTAACACTCATTAAATTTTGTAACATTCAACAACGAACCTTCGATGTTCAGGGTAAGTTCCACATTAGCTTCACCGGCCTCATTCTTGATGTTACATGTGTACGTTCCCGAATCCTTGGCTTTGTAGTTCTGAAGTAAAAGCCGACATAGTAAAGAAGAGAACACATGTTGTTAGATGAGCTAAATGCACTCACCTTAAGTTCAAGCTTAGCTGTGAAAGTGTTGTTGGGTCCATCAGGCGAAGTGAGGAAACGAATCCTGGTTGACTCCTTCATCTTCTTTCCTTTCGGGTTGATCCACATCACCTAAAGACAATTATCATAAGGCTCTGCCTTTCAGAAATAATTCTTCAAGATAGCAATTGAAGTCAGACCTCAGGATTGCGATCGGCTTGGTATCCAATATCGAAGACAATGGCTGGATCTCCAGAATCAGAAGTAACCTGCAGGATTTGGGGCTTTCGCGTGAAGGTCGGAGCTCCCTGGGGTACTGAAAGAGAAAAGGTCAGTCTTTGTTAACTCAAAAGAAAACTGATACCAGCGAACCTTCGAATTTCACGGTGAAGGTGGCTGTGAGCTTTCCAGAATCATTCTTAGCTGTGCAAATGAACTGGCCGGCGTCCTTCTCTTTTGTGGGCTCCTGAAAGTGGAACTCACTGAGGCAGCCTGCACGTCAGACGCTTTACATACTTGGAACTAAGAAACTGAACAAACCTTAATTTCAAGTGCAGCATAGTAGATCTGGTTAGCCTCCTCCCTCAGAACGATGTTTACACGGTCGGACTGCGCCACAATTTCATCTCCCTTCAATAAGAGGTTAACTTAAAATGTTTCAAAAAACGATAATGTAGTGGAAACATGGAATATTTTGAGGAAACTAAAGGCGAGGCAGAACCAGAGTCACCTTGTGCCAGACGAACGTAGGTTTCAGGATAGACTTTGCTCGGAATTCCATAACCATAACCTGACCATCATCTCGTGACGATATTTGAGGTTTCTCCACGAAAGTCGGGGACGAGAAACCTCAAATAACACAATAGCTTATTATGTATGGAAACATGCAAAATTTGAGCGCATGCAGTTATTCCTAAATAACGCGCTGTACATGGCAAGTACGTCGGTGATTGGTGGGTTGCATATGTGGACCAATAACACCTTTTCTCAAACATTCTACAGATTGAGTTATGTTCAACTAACCTCGCACACGCTATTAATACAATGTATCTGCACCCTAACTGCAAAATAAACGAACCAGTGAGCTTCAAATTGAAATTAG